ATATATACGTAAAACTAAAATAAATCTCTTAAAAATCAAGCATAGGAAAACAACCTAATCTAGTAACTATAAATGTATGTAGATGTTTTTAAATAAATCATATTTTCAAGAGAAAATACTATTAACTAGTCCAAGATGCATAATTGTTAAGGACTAAAGTTTGAAAGGCATGTGTGAAAGATTATTTCATGTAAATCATCTAACAGGTTGTAGCAGCTGTCTGTTAAATTGTGATTTTTGTTCACTTGAGCATTTTAATACTTGACTTAAGATATTAATATTTGTTCACTCACAGAAAAAGTCAGAAATGTGCTTTAGCTTGTTCTTTTTTAATTATTTTTAATCTTTGAAAGTTTTTATACATTTAGCACTGTATATTGATCATACCCATTCACCACTGCTTCCCTCCAACTCCCTTTAGTGCCCCTGCACAAAACTGGGGCCTTTTTAGGATTGAAGCTAAGGTTATCTGACAGAAAACATTCTTTGGGGAGTATGTAGAACGCAACATATTTTAAAGAAATCTAATATGAGCAGTTGGGAATATGTCAAAGCCCTACTGAATGACTACCCTTCTTCATCTCTAGGACCTTCAAGGTTATCATTCTTCAAGGACTGCTAAGGGTCAGATATGTATGTTCAGGGATCTACATTCAGAGTCTACAAGGGAATAGCACTCCTGTTCCTTCTGTTCAGTGTAACAATAATTTTTGAAGCTAACTTGTTGGTAGCATTCTCAGAGTCCACCATACCCACAGGAAAATCACGTGGATCTGTTGAAAGCTATAATAACGTCTAAAAAATTCCCACACTAAATTATGTTTGAGTTTTTTGTTTTTCTCTTTGACTACATAACTCGAAAATTGGAGAAGTAGGTCATTGGTTTGTTTATTTGTTTTTATCGTTTGGGGCCTCATATCTTTTTTAATGTTTGAGGTGTTATTACTAGGGGTATTGAAGTCAAACATGTTCAGTATCTTCTATGTGTAATCTGCTGCTTACCAATTTCCTGGAACCAGTCATAATCTAAAATATTGAGAGAAATATTTTAATTGTTCATTCATCTTTAAATTAAAATAAAAAATCCTTCATCCCCACACCCCTCAAAGATAAAAATTTAATACTATAAAGGGAACACTGATATTCTACAGATTAAAATGATACTGAGAAGTCTGGCCCAAAAAGGATGCACAGTAGGTTCATGCTACCGGGAAATGCTGTTTACTGAAAATCTGCCAACTTTCAATGTCATTGTTTTAAAAAGACAAAAATCATTTCCTCCAAAGAATACGGAGGTGGAGTTATCTTTAGAAGTTCCCACGCTTTATATTTTAATGAACTTTTTACTTTCTAATAAATAAAGAAATGAATAATTACCATTTTTATTTAATAATCCAAATAGTCTCAATTCCTTGCTTTTTAGAAAATGATAATTAATAAAAAGATTTGAATAGAACTGAAACATAGTTCTTATAATAAAAGAGACCTCGTTGCTGGAAAATTTATGGTCCTTCATTTAAATAAATCTCAACAAGAAGAAAACTCCATATGAAATAAAATAATATTGAAAACAGTGTTCAAAATCTTTTAGCATGAATTATTGCATTACTAGAGAAGGTAATTATAATACTTGAACCAGATAAGTGCAAAAATATCAAATAGTGGGGACTGGGGTTAGAGCTCAATAGTAGAGTTCTTGCTTAGGATGTGTGGGACCTGGATGTTGATCTCAAGGACCTGGATTTAAAAAATAAAAATAAAAAGACAATTCATGTTTAATCTTACTGTGATCACTCATGTCTGTAATCTTAGCACTTGGAAAGGATCACAAAGTCAAGGGCAGTCTTAAGATAAATAGTGAAACCCTGTTTAGAGAAAGAGAGAATTGCCTGCATGTTTGTAGGAAATCAAAGTCCTCACACACCCCAAAGGTCACTCACTGCACCTTTCTCCTCATCTAGGAAGGAAAACTTAGCACACCGCAGATATTGTAGAAGACGTTTCTATCCTCCCTCCCGCATTTATTGAATGTATGTGCTAAGCACCATCAGATGTAAATTCAGTTCATTTCCTATGAGAAAACTGACTCCTGAGAATAAGTCGTTTTACTTAGAATCTCCAAGTTAATGTGTGATGGAATCATGGAATCCATTGTTTAATTCAAGCTTGTTCAATGCCC